CATTTGGGGCAAGTCAGCTTGATCATGTCCCAAATTGTACATCTCTTCCCTCTCTTATTCCCACTCTTATGTTTAACAGGGATCACCTTTCAGTGAAATTTCAACACTTAAGAATAACTGTGTATTAATTACAGAATTAAACCAGTCATATTAAGTAGAACAGACAAAAAAAATACTAAGAGGGATAATGTATTATGTTGTTCATTAACAGTCAGGGCTATGCTGATCAAGTCACCGTTTCTCATAGTGTCCATTTCACTTCAACAGGTTTCCTTTTTGGTGTTCAGTCAGTTGGGCCGATGTTATGGCTCATTTGGTTAATCTTCTGCCTGCTGTGTTGGCATCCCATATGGATGCTGTGTTCTACTCCCGGTTGCTCCTCTTCCAGACCAGCTCTCTGGTGTGGCCCAGGAGTGCAGTGGAGGATGGTCCAAATGCTTGGGCCCTGCACCTGCATGGGAGACCAGGAGGAAGAACCTGGCTCCTGGCTTGGATCAGCGCACCACTGGCCTTAGTGGCCATTTGGGGAGTGAACCAACAGAAGGAAGACCTTTCTCTCTGTCTCTCTCTATCTCACACTGTCTATAACTCTACCTGTCAAATAAAAAAAAATGCAAGTATTAGAAGGCTGAAAATGATATTAATAATTAATATAATGTTTTAAGAAAAGTATAAGGAACTAGATGCTATATTAAGAAGTGGTGACACCATACATGACAATGATGTATTTTCATTTGTGTTTATTTATTTATTTACTTGAAAGGCAGAGAGAGAAACACAGAGACAAAGATCTCCATAGAGTTTATTCCCCAAATGCCTCCAGGAGCTGAGGCTGGATCAGGCTGCATCCAGGATTTCAGAATTCTATCCCAGTCTCCCACAAGGGTGGCACGGACAAAACTGTAGAAACCTGCACCTGCTCCCCCTCAGCATGCATACTAGAAGGAAACTGGATTGTATGCAGAGCCAAGACTCCATACTTGATCTGACTCAAATCCAGGGACTCTGATATGAGTTCCAGCCTAACCTCTAGGCCAAACACCTGCCCTAACAACAATCAATACATTTGCATAATTTCTGTGCTATTAATTTTGTTAGAATACACAAAATTAATGGTTTATTTCTGAATTCCAGTTGTAACAATTTCCAGAATAAAAACTGATTAGTTCTTAACTGTGATTTTAAGGAAAAAATTACAAACTACTACAACAAAAGAAAACCAGTCTAATTGAGCATTAGAATAAAACTTGTGGGGCTGGCACTTGGCGTAGCAGGTAAAGCTGTTGCCTGTTGTGCTGACAACCCCTGTGGGTGCCTGTTCAAGTCCCAGCTGCTCTTCTTTCTATCCATCTCTGTGCTATGGCCTGAGAAAGCAGCGGAAGATGGCCCAACGGCTTTGGCCCGTTCACCTATGTGGGATATCCAGAAAAAGCTCCTAAAATTAGAACAAATGTTTAAGAAGAAGACCGCCCCTTTGAGTTTAAAGTATGTTATATGGGGGCCAGCGCTGTGGCATAGTAGTCTAAGCCTCTGCCAATGGCACCGGCATCCCACATGGGTGCCAGTGTGTGTCCTACCTGTTCCTTTTCCAATCCAGTTCTCTGATATGGCCTGGGAAAACAGTAGAAGATGGCTGAAGTGCTTGAGCCCCTGCACCTGTGTGGGATACCCCAAAGAAGCTCCTGGCTCCTGGCTTCAGATCAGCTCAGTTCTGGCCATTGTAGCCATTTGGGGAGTAAACCAGTGGATGGAAAATCTTTCTCTCTGTCTCTCCTTCTCTCTCTTCTGTAACTCTACCTCTCAAAGAAATAAAATCTTAAAAAAATACAAACTTGTAAGACATTATAAGAACATAATTACTATTATTGCCAAAAATATTTAATGGATATATTTATATTAATTTATTAACTTTATATACTTTTATTATACTGTGAATTAAAAAGTTGTTGGATCTTCAATAGTATACTAAGATATACACCACAATAATGAAATTCAATCATTTGGTATGTTAATCCAACTTTCAGCTATCTTTGATATCTCTGCTAACTTTCATTAATTTAAAAGTTATGCTTATGCACTTATATGTTGTCATTATGAGGCATATTTGTCAAGGTAGTATGAGAGAATGTGTTATCTTTAGCAGTGTCACTTTGATTTGCATATAGACACATATCACTTGACCCGTAAGCTTCCCTCCAGCTCTGTGAATTTTCTAGGCAAGAGATTTGGATTCCTCTATTCTATTTGCTTCTCTGCAACTTCAGGCCCTGTCTCAAACTTAGCATACCCAAAATAAGACTGATTTCCTCCCGAACTTGTTACCACCCCTATATTTATATCTCAGCATAAAGTACATTTACTTATTCAGTTATTAATGCCAGCTGGGGGGCAACCTCAAAATACCCAAACCATCATAAAGACTCTATGTTCTAGATGTATTTTAAAACTCTTCTTTCCATTTCTGCTCTTACCTTAATCTAAGCAACTATCATATTTTTCACAAAATTACTTCTTAAGTGGTTCTTCTGTCTGCACTCATAACCCTCTAGTTCATTGTCCCCAAAACTGTCAAAAGAATCTTTTTATCTATCTGAAATGAAGCCCATCAATGTTTTCCCATCACATTTAGAAGAAAATCTCCCCATCCTTTGACTTCAGAGCCTTATTCTCTTCCCTAGCCTCACCTTGAAATTTTCTCACTGTCTTAGTCATGGTGATGCATCCAATTTGTATCTGGAGGGTAATTTATGTAGTAATCTATTTAACTCCTTATTTTCCAACAAAATAACAATTATCACAATCTGTAGCTTCTTAGGGATCCCTAGTTACTCTTCGTATTCCATGAGGTTAAAAATATTTTGCCCTAAAATCTTATATACTTTTTCACTCTCACTTTCTCATGACTTTATAGTGAACCACACTATATAAGTGATAGATATCTCCTGTGATTTTTAACTATCAGCATATTTATCTATTTTCCAAAGCTATCTTGGCATATGACATCATACTGAGCACAGAAGCAGATGTTAGAATTCAGCATTTTTGTTCTATCAGACATTGAAGAGATTTCCCTAACTTCAACTATTGAGTGAATCATTTAAAAATATAGTTATTTGTTTTAAGAATCATATGTTAATTTGTAACAGGGATATTACTTTATTTCTTAGATATAGTTCTAGGTGAATATTTAAATATGTTTTAATCTTGAGTTCAGTAACTACTGTTAGATGTCATTCACATAAAAGTCCTTTCGGGTCCTCAACTTTTGAATATCTGCCCTACACTCTAAGTTCTATGAGTCTGGAGATCAACTATTTTGCTCAGTATTTAGCGTAGTGTCTGGCATGAGATAGTTGTTGAATGAGTAAATGCATTGTTACTAAAATTGTTTCAGTGGGCTTTAGAATGGGAACCAGATTACTGGGAATAAGATAAAGAGTGAATAAATAGGAAATGTCAAGAGAATGAGTAAATAACTGATTCCGGAGGTTTTTCAGCAAATGTAATGAGATAAACAGGAAGGATGCTAAGGAGGGCAGGACCAAGAGATTGTTTCAAGATGGATAAATTTGCCCTGGCCTATTTAATTTGCACATACCCATAGTGTTGTGTGCAAATATGTGATTCTTGCACATGCTCTAAACAAATTCCTTTTGTTTCATGTGTCATGATAAATGTATGATGGGTTTAGGGTCCCTTGATTTTTCCTCTTCCAGATGCTTTCCCTTCCACACCTCTGTTATGTGGTCATGAAATGTGGATTAAAGCATTTTGTATGTCTGATTGCCTTTGGGAGGTCCTCAAAGCACAGAATGTGCTTCTGGCTCCCTGTGTATCATGGCTACAAAGAAAAGATATACCAGTTGGACAAGTTGACATATCAACCATCATGTTGAGATATAGTCATAAATGAAAGAAAGTTTCTTTCCTCCAGCTTGCAATGGGGAAGAGATAGCAATTACTGATACCACAGCCCCAGAAAACACCAATGAGGAATGGAACACAGTAAGAGACTCAAATGCTGCCAAGTGAGTATGTGCAAAGCTGAGAAGGAAGCAATCTGGGTGAGCAGTTTCAAGTGGTGCAATGCCATTCACTCACTAGAATAAACCTGTACATTTAAACATTTGCTTTCCCCTAGGGTATTCTTTATCTGAATTTCTTGCTCTCTTTTAATCTCTGATTTTGAACTGTCAGCTCCTCTATTTGTATGTGACTTTGCTGCTGCCTTAATTCTCTTTAAGGTCAGTCCTGCCTGACCATTCAGAACTCATGTGGCTATCACTCTCAGATGGTTCCGATTTGCCAACTTAGAGGTCAAAATGGTCCTTCTAGAATCAGAGAGAAAGAGGAAAAACTTAAAAAGTAACATCCATGATATAAGTTTAATAAGCAGCATGCTGAATGTGAAATAAATGATAGATTTAAAAATGACTGTGTGGAAATTACTTTAGTATAATCAGGACTGCCAATATATAGTCTGACGGAATGTGTGCCCTTTCCATCAGGACAGCTGAATTAACAAGACATAGTGGGGTGAAGAGTGGACCCCACAAAGATATATCCATGTCCTAATCCCTGGAGTTTACATGGCAAAAAATGTGATTAAATTAAACAAAGAGTTTATCCCAGATTATCTAAGTGGGCTCTTAATGCAAACACATTTCATCCCATTAAAGGGGGGCAGGGAGCTTGAAACAGACATACTGAGGAGGCTGGGAAAGAGAGGTCATCGTGACCACAGAGGACAAGAGAGAAGTGATGTGGCCACAAGCCAAGGAATGCCTTTTGCCACCAGAAGCTGGAAAGACAAGAAAGAGATTCTCTGCTTGAGTTTGCAGAATGAGCCTGGCTCTGCTAACACCTTTATTTCAGACTGACCTTCATGAGACATCAGATTTCCTTCATTCTAATCTTTCCACTTAGTGGCAATTTCTTATACAACTCTCAGAAATCTAACAAAAAAAACATTGACACAATTTTACTTTTGGTTTCTTCAGGTTCTATGACAATTTCTACCCTTTGATTTGGCTAATAGGAAATTCATTTGAGGAAATGTGAAGCCTAAATTATATGACATGTATGAATAAGGACTGAGCAGTGAATATGTGCTATATCTGTCTCTGTAGACACACACGTTTATGGTATGTGAGATGCTCCAATTGGCAACAAGTGAGTGCTTCTAATGTTGAGGGAACTGTTGATTACACCCATGTAGACATTAAAACTCCTTTCACAAAATAAATATCCCTTTGCAGCAGAAGGCATCAGCTCTCTATGAATGTGTAAGTGGAACATGATCACGATCATTGTACTGTAAACATCTGTTTGCATTTCCCAGGATCTTGCCATGACTCCTACATTTTGTCTAATTTGTCACTACACCATCTGTTTGAAGATAGACTGATCACTGGTGGTTGGATTATTGGATAAGGAGCGCTTATGTTTATTATAACGTGCATAACAATACCTTAAAATTCCATTTAATGTGAATTAATGTTTAGGTGACAGTGGGTGTCCCGGAGGTCCCATTTGTTTACAGCAGTGGGAACCACAGTAGAACAAAGATGCAATTGTATAATCAGCTCAATACAAACATCGCCAGAAATTAGATTTCAAATTCAATCCGAATCCTTTCTAGATGGAAAAACTCTCCATTTGGGAGTACCTTTGATAAGAAGACACCTCACAAGCCTTGAGACCTTTAAACTTGGCAATGTATGATACTCTATGTATACACCTAAGCTATGGCAGAGCCCTGGGCAACCTCCAGCTCAGGTTTCCTAAGTTTGTTGAGGAGGTACACTTGACAGTACAGGCAAGTCTTAGGATCTGCAGGCCACAGTGTAGCAGGCAGTAATCATAAGCTATATCCCCATTTTACCTGTTGGCAGTCTTTCATATTTGGACGTATCATTTTCAAATTTTGAAATACAATATTAAAATAAATTAATTAATTTGTATTATGCTAAATTTTCAGTTATTTTAAGTCAAAGATTACCTTTTCAGTTAGTAACTAAGCTAGGGCTTTATTTTTTTTCTTTGGTAATCTATTAGAGAAACCTAGAGACAGAGACAGAAAGAAAAGTAGGTAGTGAGATCTCTACTCATTCTGCAAATATCTACAAAGGTCAGGATTGGGCCAGCCAAAGCCCAGAGCCAGAACCTCACTCCATGCCTTCAACACGGATGGCTAGGACCCAATCCCCTGAGCTATCACTGCTGCCTCTCATCATATGCATAAACAAGAATACAAAATCACAAACTGGAGCCAGGAGTTGAACATAGATACTCTATTATGGGATGAAGGCATCTTACTCCAGCATCTTAGCCACTAGGCTATCATAGTGTTCTTAAACTTTTAGTGAGCATAGTATCCTTAGATCCTGTAGTCATAGTTTTCATGTATCTTCTTAGATATAATTAAAAAGCTAACAAAAATAAATTATTTTTGAGTAGTATCTGTTCAATATGACAGCATTTGAAGCTAAGGTTCTTTGTCATTGAAAGAACAATTTATTCATATGGATATGTGCTTACTGACACACATATTAAGACTGAAATCAAAATTATATACATGCATACCTTTGACCATTATGCCAACTGATCTTACTTACCTATTGCTTTGCCTCTGGTTATAATACCTCCATAATAACCAGTCCTGATCCCACCACCTTTAAATAGTCCACCAAATTTCAAATAACATACTTTTCATGTATAATTATGTTGTAAAGAGAGATGGTTATGAGAAAGCATAGTACACATTTATTTGAAACATTATAGAACTAAGTAATTGTGGGTGATTTCAAAACAAACTAGTTGCAATAATACCTTAATTCTACATTCTTTTCCATTAATACCAGTATCAAAATGGCATTTTCCCTGAAATGGCTAATACTAAATCATGGCTCTGGGTATCTTCTCTCCACACCTCCATGGATTCAATGAGGTTTTGTTCTGACAGCCAATATTTCCATTATCTCTAACAGCTATGGGCAAACCCATCCAATCCTATCTTTTCTCATCTACTCAGCCAAGTACTCCTGCCTCCTCTAATAATGACAAAAGGACATTTTTTGCTGAAGAAAAATGAAACTAAGCTTCCTTGAAATCATGAGAGGAAATCCATGTATCTTTTCCCTAGAGCCTGAGCTTCTGATGTGGGATCATCCCCTATAGACACTAGAAGGCAAAATATTCAAGTGCCTTTTCTCATTAGAATACTCATGGGCATTTTCTCTTTAGGCATTAATACATGAATTGGGAACTAATCAGATGTGTGAGATGTGATTGCTGTTTCTGGACTAACTAAATATCTCTCAGCCATCCAATTATGAGGACCACTCATTGATCCCTTTCTAGGAAAAAAGGAATGCACCTAAAGGGAGAGAAAGGTAAGTGTGTAGAAAATTTATGTATGGATGATGCTAATCCAAAGTGTGAATCCACTAGTTGCTACCAAACGTGATGATACCAATGTTACAGAGTAGAACCTGGAGTAAAGAGGAATTTCTGTTTTGTATCCAGTGGTCACAAGCAGCACCACTTTATGAAAGGAAAAAGCTTCTAGGTGATATGAAGCACCACAAAAGAGAAGCATTTCTTGAACGCAGCACTGGAATTTCTAAGAAACAAACCCTAAAGAGTTAGTTCTCCAGGCAGCCTTTGGCATGGTCAATTCTGCAAAACTGCAGCTATGAAGGGTCATGAGAGCTGCAAAAAAAAATCTCAGGAACAAGGTACTACCAATGTTAAGCACATGATTCATGAGTCAGGATATGCAGATTGCATCCCAGCTCCCAAAATAGTATGTTACAAGACAAAGGATAAAGGTTTGGGCCATAATACCAGAAGACACAGACTTAAACACTGTTAAGATTGAAATTTTGAAATCTCATAACATCAAAATCTCTAAGTCTAGATAATCCGGAAAGATGAAAATCTCAAAATTATTATCTGGAAAAATAATGTTAGAAATTCTTAACATACATTATTTGCATATTTAAGAGAGAACAAGAAATGTTTAGGAATAGCAAAACACTTCAAAGCCCATAGTATACAACAAAATAGGCAATAATAACTTTTTTGCAAGCATAAACACTTGGGTCTACTAATGGTTATGAGCAGATGAACCATACCTTGAAAGAAATAGGTTAAAAAGTGAAATGCACAAACACATATCACTGTAGTTGTTATGTGCAGCCAGCTTCATAGCTGCCATCATCTGAAATACTGTGACAGACAACCTTAACTTTTTAACATGATTGATAAAAAACTGCAATGGGTCATGATTGCATGTGCAATTGCCCAAATAGCTGAGGTCTTGAGAAATTTTATTTTACACAAGAAGAAAATATAACAAAAATAATATCTCTTCATTTATTGAAGAAATGTCAATGCTTTTACATATATGCATATGCTTACATAAGAAGTTGACATTATGACAATGCACTTTCCTGGTGTCAAATATGTAAAAAATACATAAAGTGAATTAGAACTCTCTAAAGATCTTTACAGAATTTATATTTTAAGTATTAAAAAGAATGCAAAGATGAAATGGAGAGCATAGCAAATTATAAAACATAATGCTGACAGGCAGGAGTTTAGTGTAGCAATTAAGATGCCTGCATTCCATAACAGAAGGTCTGGATGTGAAGCCAACTCCACTACTAATTCCAGCCTCCTGCTAATGCAGATCCTGGGAGGCAGAAGTGATGGCTCCCGTAATTGGATTCCTGCCTCCCACTTGGGAGATCAGGATTGAGCTCCCAGCTTCTGACCCCAGCAGGGGCACTACAGGCATTTAAGGGGTAGCTAGTAGGTAAGAGCTCATTCTCTGTTTCTCAAAAAATGCTGACAACGTATACTTGTAGGGGAAAACCAATAATAGAAAAAAGTAAAATGCAAAAATTGTGTTTAAACAGCACATCTTAGGGATAGATTATGATCAATTGTACCCAGAGGTGGTGCTTAAGAGGGGCTGCTTTGATGGAGTGAAGGGCTGATATGGCTCTCCTCAGAGAATTAAGCCACATTTGTTGTCTACCTGGTGGTCTTCCCCACTCAATCTGCTCAGGTTCACGTATTAATCTCGGGCACCCCCTGCACAGACACATCCAACAGAATGCACCTTCTTGCAGGATGCAACCGTCCTGAGCACAAAAAAGAAATCAAACCAATTTCTTCCCCAGAATACAACTGCCTGTGCCTCCCATGTGACCTTCCCTTTTTCCCAAAGTCCTGGAACTGCCGTTTAGGGCGTTTAGATTTTCAGAATTTTCACTTTTTTGAGATTGTGAGTTTGGGCATTTTGGTCCTTTGGGATTTCACATTCATGATTGTGTTTTTCAGGATTATGAGCAGCCCTGGTTGATGCCATTGCTTTCTGTTCTCTGCAGTAAGACTGTAGCTACAGGAATGAGGCATTAGAAGTTCAGTATGTGTGTTATGAAGATCAATTGACATTTTATAATTTTTATGCATAATGTATTTATTTGAGAAAGAGAGTGTGTTCTTATCTGGTGTTTCATTCCCTAAATTCCAAGAATATCTAGGCTATGCCAGGCAGAAGCCAGAAGACCCAATCTGTGTCTTCCACACAGGAGCAGGGACCCAACCACTCAAGCCATAGCTTCTGTCTCTCAGGGTGTACATTAGCAGGGAACTGAAATTGGATGTGCGACAGGGACCCAACCCCAGGCACTCTGATTTGGGACACAGTTATCCCAAGTGGCCTCTTAACCAATAGGTCAAATGCCTGCCTCCTTCACTGACATTTTATGTGTTAAATATTTAGTACAATACTTGACATATAGGGATGATTCAGTATAAGGAATTTTTTTGTTTTATTGTGTTATTTTATTTTACTAGGGGAATGGAGTTGTGAGATACTACAGGTTCATTGATTCAACAAAGGCTTCTTTCCCACAGAATCATCTGGAATAATTATTTTGCTGTGAGGTGGGTAGGCTTTTCATCTTATTATATCCCCCAACAGTTGGCGTAAGATGGAAGCAAGACAAAATTTTACACCTGTACTTCTGTCTGGGTCTTATTTCTCAACATGAGAGTCAACCTGGATATATGTAAAGTGCCAAACACTTAGGTAAGGATACAGCCTGGAGTATTTTCCTATGTACTTACTCTGTACTTCCTCTGAAAAGGAAAAAGCAACAGGGAGTTGCAACAGAATCTTAGAAATAGAAAAATGTTTGTGCTTGGAGTAATCTACATGCTAAATCGCTACAATCTCTTCTTGGGCTCTAAGAAATCTGTGGCTCCTCGGGGAGCAACCTAGTCTACTTAAGATTAATCACTGGTGCTTAAAGTTAATTGTTATCAATCACTCTCTCAAAGGTTGCTCTGTTGGAGTTTCTCATACATAATAATTGGTTTCAACAACAGCTCCTAATATATATGAAGTCTTATCTTTTCTGCATAATCAATGATCAAAAATATATCAAACCCTTAACCTGGACCTCCTGTCATTAAACTGGCTGTCTAGGTACAGTTTTTCAAACATGAAAATGCATTGTAATCACCTGCAGTGTTAAAACACAGATTTGCTGGTCTCAACTCCAAAATGTCTGATTCAGCTTATGTGAGATTTGGCCAAGGCAGACAAATTCCCAGTTGCTGCTGATGCTGCTGGCTCTGGAAAAGGGTCAGAGACACTTGTAAGCAAACAATGCTGGTAAGCAAATCGCTTCTGAGGGATCTACCTTGACTAGATCCTTGATAACACTTCTGTTCTTGCCAAAGTTTTGCTGAGACTGATGCATTCCTACCCACATAGCCCATTCTTGTGTACAGTCATTGTAACTCTTCCTTTGCACAACACAGATGAGGATCTTTCTTTTTCCATCGAAGAATATGAAGAACAGGAATTCAAAATCATCACTAAGGTAGAAATAAATCCATGGAAACTGTTTTCTTCCAAGGACTACTCAATATCAGTGTTCCAGAGCACCTCTACCTTCAACTGAACTTGAATCTTGGTGTTCTTTGCAAATCTATCCCCTCAAGTTCCTCAACCTTGAACACTGATGCATTTGATCAGAGAATAGGACAATATTCAAGACTTCCTTTATGTTCCTCTCAATTTAACTAAATTTATTGAAGTATTTCTTTCTGCCTACAGATCACTGACCTCCTTATTCTTTCTTTTTTTAAAAAATTATTTATTTACTTGAAAGGCAGAGTTACAGGATGGGTTGGGAGACACACACACACACACACACACACACTCACACGCCAAGAGAGAGAGAGAGATCTTCTAGTCGTTAGTTCATTCCACAAATGGCCACAACAGCCAGAGCTGGCCCAGTCGAAACCAGAAACCAGGAGCTTCTTTCGGATCTCTCACATGGGTGCAGGGGCCCAAGCACTTGGGCCATTTCCAACTGCTTTCCCAGGCACATTAAACACAAAGCTGGATTGGAAGTAGAGCAGCCAGGACTCACACCAGCAGCCATAAGGGATGCTGGTGCAGCAAGTAGAGGTTTAACTTGTTTCACCACAGCACGAGCCCCCACTCTCTATTCTGTTTTTTTCAGATGTATTTATTTATCTGAAATCAGAGTTAGACAGAGAGAGAAGGAGAAGCAGAGATAGAGAGAGGTCTTCCAACCACTGGTTCACTCCCCAGAGGGCTGTAACAGCCGAAGCTGCGCCAATCCAAGGCCAGAAGCCAGGAGCCAGGAGCTTCTTCTGGGTCTTCCATGTGGGTGCAGGGACCCCAGGACATGGATTATTCTCTACTGCTTTCCCAGGCCACAGCAGAGAGCTGTGGAATCGGAATTGGCGCAACTGAGACATGAACCAGCACCCATGTGGGATGCCGGCACTGCAGGCGGCAGCCTCACCCCAGGGCCTGCATTGCACTCCCTATTCTTAGAGCTTTTATTTACTTTTCTCAATGCTTTTAACATGTAAATTTACATTACATGTTAAAATCATAAAATTACATGTTAAAATCCAGGCCTGGGAACTATCTGTTTGAAATGCAATCATTTCAAAAAATAATGCCTCCTGCAACATCTGTATTGTAAAGGAGCCTAACTTTGATAAACACAAATTAGCAAAGAGAATGGTCTAATCATGTTGATCCCGAACCCCCCTAATATCCTCCAGGGACACTTTCCATCAGCTCACTTCAGCATAGTACTTAGCACAGTTAGATTCCTACCTGCCCAATGAGACATAGATGGGAGCACTAGATAGTGGTTACCAGAAACTAGAAAAGGGAAGGATGCAGGTGGGGAATGAAGAGGGTGCGGTGAGGAGGTGTGGGGCACACTTGGATAGGAAGAATCACTTCCAATGATCTATAGCGTGGTAAGGGTGGCAGTAGTTGCATACACACGAAAATATTGTGTATTTTAAAGTAACTAGTTGAAAGGATTTGGGATGCTCCCAACACGAAGAAATCATAAATCCTTTTTGAGGTGATGGGAATACCTTAGTGACCATTTAATAGATGTTGTATACATCTATTAAAATATTACACTGCATTCCATAAATATGTGCAATTATTACAGGACAGATATGAGCATGACCCTCCCTGACTTATCGAACAAACCTGTGGCTTGCACCCAATCTTCAAAAACCTGCTTGTCAAGTTGTTCCTGGACTTCAGACCGGGTTACTCCAATTTCTACCACAGCTACTGAACAAGGAGGCAAGTCCAAAGGCTTGTTGTGGAATAAAAAGAGAAAGGCATTTCTCATACATATCATATGATTTTCTGGCATCTGATACCATGTTCTGGTGACACAAAGAAATTGGTGGTCCCTTCCCCTGAGGCAGTGGAGAAAAATACTTCATTCCAGAGTGCCGCCTTCAGGCAGGTTAGCTGTAACAGAGAGGTGACGAACTACACAGATTTCCTGATAAGCAGAAGACAGTGGCAAACTGAGAAACTGACTCCATGTCACTTACTTAGATGGGAAGAATAACTGAATATTAAGCTAGGATCAACCTACAATTGCAGCCAGCCTTTGATTCCATGTGGAATTACTTATTCCTTAATACTAAGCTGACCTTACAATTTAACAGCCAATTGTGATACCTTTGAGAAAGGATGACATGCTGTTAGACATTCCAGAACAATACGCATAAGTAGGGCTTTCTTACACAGCCAAGGGTTTAGGATAGCTCTATCTGACACTAATCATGAAGGAATTGAAACAGTAGTCATCAGAAAGTGGGGGACTTTAGTTTCTGTCCTTACTAGAACTCATGTACTGAGACCTCTACCCCGACACACACACAGCTATGAATCATATAAAATTGAGTCTCATTTCAAGATAAATATAGAATCCAGATAATAGCTCTTATATGCATCTATGAGAGACCCACCACCTCAATCCCTCATCAGACCAAATGCTTTTGGGTTTTTGTTTTACCTGCCATGGTTTGCCGTGATTGAAAATGGTGTCAAGTTCTAGACCCTAAATACCTCCTTTAACCTTTATCTGAAACTAAAATTACCTTCTCTTCAATCAAAGCTCCTCCGACACATGCATTTTTATTGCTGGAAAGAGAGGTGGTCAGATCTGAGGTGAAACATCTAAAAGAAGAATGAAAAGAAGATGCTAAGAACAGTCTTCTTAAATTGCCAGGTTTTATTCCCTGCTAGCTTACCTTTGGGCATTACTTAAATTAAGTCTCCTTTTCTGAACCTGGGCCACATTTCAAAATCCCTCTTCTATTATTTTAGCCTAGAGAGACCCTAACCCAGAGAAGAAGGAGTGATTATCGCCACTGCCTAACCTCTTCCCTCTAGTCTAAAATCTGTTGACTCTTCAAAAAGGTCAAAGCGGCACTGTTTCAATTTATGTATTCTTCCCAGGACAGGTGCAAATACAAGCTCATCAATTCTGTCCTTATCCCTATGGAGCTTAATATCCAACTGGATGTATGGTTGTGTGTTCTTATCCAATGCTTCAATCATCTTGCCTAGCAAAGAGCCCAGGAAATGAATCCTATTTCAACCATTTCCCTAGCACAAGGAATAGGCAAGAGACCCTGAGAACAGGGAGCTCTACCTTTAAGACATACATTTTTTCTTTAAAAGCTGGTGGGAAATCCAGCCATTTGTTAGGACTTCACAGATCTCAGACATAGAGAAAGTGATACTTTGGTTGCTTTGCTGAAGCCACTGGCAGCACAGGAATACACCAAGTGGAGCTGAACAAGCATGCCACAGGCAGTGAGCCAGGATGAGGATCTTCAGCACAGAGGAGGGCCACACAGTGCTCTCAATATGTACAGCACCATGGCGTGGAGCCAAGGAATATGGCGAAAAAGCATGGGTTTAGCAATCAAGGAAGCCAACAAATGCCAGGGGCCCCAGTATTCCTCATAGTTGATTGTTCTGGGACCTCTGCCCAAGCTATGAAGAAGAGCACCTTTTTCAAATGACCAGAGATGGGCAAAAATATTGTCTGCTAAAATCGTTGAAATCTTCCAATTACTTCAGGATTAAGGCCAAAATGCCTTAATCCAGTATGCAAGTACCTCATAGCTTAACCAACCTATACCAAATTTTCTACACTCCTGGGTTTTTTGCATGCATTTACTCAATACTCTGAGAATGATGTTCTACTCATATACTTTGAAAATACTCTATTTTTTTTTATTACCCCATGACTTTTCCTGTTGAAAGCCACAGTAACCTTCACTGATCTGAAAGATTGCAATACCTAATGCCAACATCAAAATTTGTTTGTCAGATAGGAGGTGCTTGATAAAATTAATTGACTGAACCTATAAATGCTGTTGTTCCTTCTTGTCTGAGGCCTGAATGATCACATTCTTACATACTTTTTTATTCTTTTGGCCAGCGTCTCTGTGACAAGTTGGCACCCCACAGCACCAGGACATCTATTCAAATGGTTGTGTTCATTCTTGGACCTGAGAGATAGGTAGGGAAAGAACAATGGCTATCCTGTGTGATGGTTCATTTTGTGTGCCTGCTTGACTAGGCCATGGAAAACCCAAATATCTGAACTAACATTATTTCTAGATGTCTGTGAGGACATTTGAACAGATTACTGGATGAGTTGGTGAACAAAATAAAGACCAGGCTCACATCTTCTCTCCCGGATCTCTAGTTTTCAAGTCTGCAAAATATACCATCAGTTTTTCTAGGTCTTCTACTTATAGACAGCAGATAATAGGACTTCCCAGTCTGTTTAGCCATGTGAGCTAATTTTTGATAGTAGATAATATTTTATACACTATTGATTTTATACAAATTATATTCACATCCTATTGGAGATACGTGTGTGTAGGTGTTTTTATTCTACTGATTTTGTTTTTCTGGAAAACGTTAATATTCTCTGTCATGCTGGCATCTGCAACAGAGAATGTGCCTGATCAGTATTCATACATAAAACTAATATGGGGGCCGGAGCTGTGGCAAAGTGGGTTAATGACCAGGCCTGAAGTACTGGCATCCCATATGGGCGCCAGTTTGAGACCCGGCTGCTCCACTTCCTGTCCAGCTCTCTGCTATGGCCCAGGAAAGCAGTAGAAGATGGCCCAAGTCCTTGGGCCCCTGCACCCACGTGGGAGACCCAGAAGAAGCTCCTGGCTTCAGATCAGCGCAGCTCAGCTCTGGCTGCTGCGGTCATTTGGGGAGTGAACCATCGGATGGAAGATGTCTCTCTCTCTCTCTGCTTCTCCTCTCTGTGTAACTCTGACTTTCAAATAAATAAATAAATCTTTAAAAAAAAACTAATATGAGTCCATGGTGTCTAACTATATGTAAGCTACTAATATGGTATATAATAGAATATTAAAATATATTTAAAATTAAGTATAAGGTTTAATGCAAATTTAAATGTATACATTTATGTATTTATGCAGACATGAGTTTTCAAAAATTCATGGAAAATGCACATTATGAAGAAACTAAACATGGATGTCATTTTTTGCACCAAAATGAACTGTAATTCCATTTCCCCATAAACTTTTTGATACACTCATATTGCTACAAAAATATCCAAATAAGGAAGTGATGAAAGTATTATTGAGTCATTTTCAGAAGAATATCACGCAATGAGAAGAGTCCCCTCACCAATCAAATTCTAGGCTTTTTAACAGATTCTAAGGCTACATAAATAAAGAACAATAAATATAGAATTAAGGTTTAGATGAGTAGCAATTAAACAAATTAAAATCTTGACACAAAGTCTGTTATATTGAGAATATTTCTTAGAATTAAGTCGACCTGTCTTCATTTCTGTCTCCTATCTGCATTTGCTCTGATTAAAGTTTTTCTGAATTTTGTGAGTTTCAATAACTTCGGCTATACTTAAAACTAAGTGTCCTGATCAACTGTGAAATTAAATAATCTAGGGACTCTACCGCATCTAATGGGCATTTAATACATTTTAAACACTTGCATGATAATACAATTAAGACATATCTGAAGATGATATTCTTAATAAAAATTTAAATAATAAAAATAAACTATCAATTGAAGTTAACCAGCAGAGGCAGAAAATTACAATATATCTCTTAGAGAGACAGTTTTTGTCCCAAACTTGATGCCAAATAGTTGATTTCTAAACACAGTTAAAAGATTTATTCTGTTTTTAAACAAAGCCTATAACTTCTTTCCTCTTAGTTGTATTCTTGGGGGACTATACTAATCAATATTTATAAGTAAATTCATTCCTTCTGTTTTAACTTTACCAAAATATTGTATATCATAACAAAAATATTTTATTTTCTACTTTTACATCATTAAAAAAGACTTAGTGTGAGACTTTCATTAAGAAATCCGATCGGTATCTCTAATGCTTGGGATGTCTTATTTTGTTCATTAACAGTCAGCTCCTTCAAAGACTGAACCTTCCTCCCCTCCTTTAAAGTAATTTGCATCACTTATAACTCCTCTTCTGTCTCCCTGGCCTTTTTTTTTCCTGTGGATATCCGTTTTTTAAAAAGTGAGCAATAAATGAAACATCTTCTCAAGAACAGGCTGGAAATGTATCACAGATAATTATCTTTCTCTTGGAGAGATGAATTCCAATACTTCTTCTAGGTCACATGTAAATATGACATTTGAGATTTTTATAAATAGAAACAGTAATTCTGAAACAATGCAAAAATAAGGCATAATAAGAAGAAACTGGCAGTGAGAAACCAAAAGGGAATTATTATTGTGATTATTTAGTAAACTGAATTTAGACTTGGAGTGACACTCAAGAAACATCCATTATCATATTTTCCATTAGCTTCATGCCATCCTAAGCAACATCACACTGCTATTCTGTTGCTAATTTTAACTTGAGTAATATAAATTATTTCTTATGTTCAATTTACTTATTTGATATGACAATTTAAAAGAAAAATATATCTCTGGACCTGGCATAAAAAATGACATACAATATGCCTATTACTGGCAAAAGCAAGGGTCTCCTTCATGCCTCCCTGTCACCTCCAAGGTAGTTTAAAGTTATTGTTTTCCCAGATTTGGCATTTTGCTTCTAGATTAAAGCAGTGCTGTTTAAAATATTCTTTAAAAACAAAACTCTGTTCAAGTGAATCCACACAGATTTTGAAATTCAGAGCAAATTAGGATTGCTGTTAAGAAAACCAAAAAACTGCTGACATTACATTACAAAATATGTAAAATACCAGCTATAATTAATGTGATAATCTTTGTGTAGGTAATTTCAGTACTTTGGTGAATTTTTTTTAATTTAGAGTGAAATTAAATGAAGAAATGTCTGCTTTTAAAATAGGTAATGTATTAAAAACAATTAATGCAATTAAATGCTTGTTGAGTGATTTTGGTAATGATTATATATATTAGAAACATATATTTGGATAAAGTATTGCACCATTTTAATATATGAAGTGCAGAATAGATCAACAATCCTGAATTTAATCATACTTCTCGGTAAACAAACAGTGCTTTATGAAATGGAAAATCTTTCAGGATCAAACATATTTATCCTGTGATTTTATATGTATTTCCATAATAATGTTGGTATTTTATTTAAAATCTAAATTTTTAACTGTTATATAAAAATAATTTTTTCAAATAAACAGTTAGATTCTGCTTTAAAATACCAGGCTTCCAGTAAATTTTATTTAGGAAAGAAGCACAATAGTGCTTCTGCATATAATAAAGACAAATAATAATTTGTCTTCTTTATATATGCAAAACCAATTACAGAAGTGGTATATTCCTTTAACATCTGCTCAAAACCAAAATTATTTGTTTAGGAAAAATTTTCCAAAATTATAGCAGTTCACATAATAAGACACATCCAATTATAGTGAGTTTTATAGACATTGTAAAATTGCTGTTTGAGAAAATTTTGTTGAACTTCAGGTCTTCTAAAAGTCCCAGGACCTTAATTTGTACCTCATATTTTATAACATTAAAGTCTCAAGGGTTAAAAAGCCATTTAAATGTGTTCAATAAGAAAATATGCACCATAGAGTCCATGAAACAAAAGTGCATAAGAGCAAGCATTCAATGAAAATAAGTCTTATAATTGAAAGTCAGCATATAAATATATGAAAAAGAATTCTAAATTAATTTATTGAAATCATTTAATTAAAGGAGAGTTATTTTCAACATTCAGTATGTAATATAAATGAACATTAAATTTTGGGCTTATTGAAGAAAATTGTCATTTAAATTAATAATACCAATTATGTTCAGAGCTGATTCGGGGAAAATTAGCAAGAATAGATAAATCCCAAAAACAGGTCTCATACTTAGCCAATATTTCGCTACTGGAATATTGATACCTATTTTGCAGGGGCACACAGTGTCCAAGAGTCAGAGTAGACTTTGTTCACAGATCAAGGTTAGATTCTGAGACTGTTAGACTGTTGTTCTGTGAGCTCACACTCCACTGTAACACGTTTGTGACTGTCAACAACAAAAGTAGGGTCTACTACCAAGTCTCCAGAGAGAACACCGAATGACATGCTGATCAACCAAAGACAGGGTTTTACCTATAGCTGTATGGAGTACACTGTCATAACTAAGGTTTAGTAGTGTGTTAAAACGAATGCAAAAAAAAATGAGATGATTTCTTTTATGACAAAATTGATTCAATTGGAAACCATTATACTTAGTGAAATAAGCCAGTCCCAAAAAGACAGATATCATATGTTTTCCCTGATCTTGGGTAATAGAGTACCTAAAATGGAATACATTAGAGTGAAATTGACATTTTGAGATTTGATGATTGTTTAGAGCCCTTGTCTCCTCTGTTGAGGACCAATGTTTTTGTTTTTATACTTTTTCTTGAACTCTTTATTTAGTGTAGGGTTAATCTTATGAGTATAAAGTATACTGAAAATAGATCTATGTAAAAATTAAGTGTGGGAATAGGAGAAGGAAGGAAGACGGTTTGGAGCATGGGCTGGACGGAGAGTAGGAGTGAGAAGTATCACTATATTCCTAAATCTGTACATATGAAATACATGAAACTTGTATACCTTAAATAAAATGAACAAAAAAGAAAACTGAGGATTGAAACTTTAACGTGTAGGGATCTCTTTACTGGTGGTTTAAGGGAAATCTTTCAATGGAGGGTTGAATTGGGGTTGAAAAAGATCTTAATATAGCAGTTCAAAATTGCAAGAGATGTAGGCAAGGAATGAATCTTGGTGAGTAGGTAGCTGTTTGATAAGCAAGGGGTGTTGACCAGTTGAACGACCCATTGTCCTGAGAAGAGATTGGTTGAGAATTTTATTGGCTGGATAAATGGATTTTTCTGAAGTACCAGAAGAAACAATAAAGTAATGCATTGCTTTACAGCATTATTTTCCAGGGTCAAAATTCCTTGGAACAAATTTCAAAATGTTGTAATATAGGCTCAGTTTTGAGAGTTAAACTCTAAGACCCTAGGGATATCAGTTCTCAGTATTTGGAAATGATAACAGTCATCTCCTGCTATACACACCAGAAATTGAACAATAACAGATAAAAGATTCTAAAATGTAAATGCAAAAATAATCATATTTTCTTAGGCTACATCAATATAGTAAAAGCATGACAGTTGCTTGGTAAGCACATTCACACACAATCCCAGAAGCATTCCACACATTGGGAAAAGTATAATGTGAACCAAACTACTTGAATAATCTCTGTCAAATATATACCTCAATTATTTTTCCTTTATAAAGTTTTGAAGAGAGGCATTTTAATAATGAACAATGACATGTATATTGAATATTACATTCAGGTCCTCACTTTGGTAAGTTGTATATTAGAAAAAATTGAAATACATACATATGAATTTTAAGATATTTCCAAGTATTCAAATGTGTTCAAATGGAAGATCTGAGCATTAGTATGGTTGAAAGGCCACACAGGGTCTGCATCAAAAAATCAGTTGGGTGTTAAATAAGAAGTCATGGAGTTACTGTATTTTTAGAATCCATTGTCTGTGCCTAAGCAATACAGATTCATGAAATAAAATAGCATTTGGCCTCTTAACAACGTGTTTGAAATTATTTTGTTCACAGTGCTTGTTGTGTTTAAGAAACATGTTGGCTGTATGAACACTTCCTCTTCTTTTTCTCTTTCTTTTCCTCTTGACTTCCCTCTTTTCCCTCCTTCCCTTTATGTCTTAATTTCCTGTCTTTTTCTTCCTACATCTAGATAGCCACTGTATGAAGGCTGCTGAGAGTGATGGGAATATGAATAAGAA